AGCACGTGGATTATTTTCCATTTGGGGTGACTATGAATAATACTTCTGTTAACATTCATGCTCGAATCTTTCTCTGGACATATTTTCATCTTTGTCAGGTCGGATCCTAAAAGTAAGAAAGTGTCATCCTATGGCAGGCACAGGTTTAATGTTTTAAAGAAATTGCCAAAGTAATTACCAAAATGCTTTTTCTGCTTTTTATTCCCACCAGCACCCAATAAAATATTTAAGATGAGTAGTCAAAAACCACAAAGGTCTCTATGCACATTCCACTGATATGCAGTGGTTGGATGTGTGAGTGAGATATACTTCATCCAGCACACTAGTGTGGGAAACATCTAGTCCACCCTGCAGACCCATGAACGTTTATTAGTCACTCACTAAAGATGGATCAAATGGGGCTCCTGAGCAGCCATCCTTGTGTACGTAGGGAAGGTCAAGTGAAATCACGGGGCAAAACAGGCTGTAATGGTCACTATTTATTACTCACATTTTCCCCTTCCATGTCTCTGCCTTATCTATTCCAGTACATTTGAGATTCACTTTCAACAGGTCCACTGGGGGCGGAGGGTGTCTATGTCCAGAATCCTACTTGACCTTTGATATTCTCTTTATGACCTGCAACTCTTATCCATAGGCAATAAATAAATCACATTCTCCTGTTTTGCCTTCTCTCTCTCTCTCTCTCTCTCTCTCTCTCTCTCTCTCTCTCTCTCTCTCTCTCTCTCTCTCTCTCTCCCAGGTAAATAAAAGCACTCAGCTAGACCACATCAGTTTTGTGACCCCACACAGTCTACCCTGACTCACCTGAACTCAACACTATGGATCCGAGTTTACCACACTGTCTCTTTCAACTACATCTGATTGTTATTAATCCTTTTAAAACCCATGCCTTCCTTCCTCTCCAGCTCCATTTGAATCCATTTTCTAAGATGTCCTAACTACTTTCTCATACCCACACAGTACTGGCTTCCAAACCTGATTCTGTTATGAGTTTGTCAGTCCCATAACACCTGTTGGACACAGCTTGTCTTCATAGCTTTTTAAATTTGTTCCTTGGAATGCCATAGCCTACTATATGTTTTCTTAGTCTTTGCTTATTTATCAACTTCAAAAACTGTCTTTTCTCCACTGCTTCGGAGCACCAGGCACTTTATTTCTAGGGTTGATAAGAGATAGGAACAGAGGCAGGGACAGAGCCTGACCACAAAGGAGAACTGTATGTGGAAAGGTGTTCAGGAGGGAACAGTCACAGAGCCACATACTTTAGCATAATAATCAGTTGTACTTTTAAATGGATGCCAATTAAAGGTCAAAATGTGTTTGAAACTAAACATTCCTTCCACAAACCCTGGAACCACCCAACTGACCAGTGTCATCTGCTGGGAATTTTCATTTGAAATCCCTTTCTAAAAACAGTAACAGAGACTCAAGAAACCCACCCCCACTCCTTAAAATGAATAAAGGAAGGAAAACTAAAAAGCATCATGAAAATGGAGCTACCTCCTTGTCAGTGCTTCCTTTGGCTTGGCATAAGCACCCCAGCCCCAACTTTGGTACACAGCAGAAGCACACACCAATGCCAAGGGAGAGCAAAGGACTTAGCTCCCACTCTGCTCTCATGCATCTCCACCTTTAGTCCTCACAAATCCAGGGAGGCAGCTCTAATTACCCTCACTTTGGAGATAAGAAGCTGGAGGTTTGAGAAGATAAACAGCAGCCTGTCCAATCTGGCACAGCTAGTCCAAAAGGCAGGGGAGGGATTCAAACCAAGAAAGTCAGGCTCCGACACTCAGATTGTTTTCTCCAAGCCACACTGCCTCCCAGACCCAATTCCCCCTTCCCCATCCTGGTTGCTTCGAGAGTCGACCATCTCTTCATCATCATCGATAAATATTTATCAAGGACCACTGCCTACATAGCAATGCTCTTGTTTCCACAGCAACACGCAGCCAGAGAGTCATGGGAGTATCCCATGCTTGAAAGAACGATGCTGTAATGTCCTCTGATCATGGCTCTGAAAGGTGACAGTTACTCTACTCCAGGAGACACCATCTCAGCTGGCAGCATGAAGCCGTGGAAACTGCTTAGAACAAACAAGAAGGAACTGAAATAGAAGAGAAGGATACAGGTTGCAACCCAAGAAGGCGGTCTGCATTTATTTCGTGTTTGCTATTGTTGCTGGAACAGAATCAAAGCCAGGTTTTCACAATAATTGTTCTTTTATTAGGAAACAAATCAAGCAATCCAGAACAGAAAGTAAAATTCAACTGTACTGAAAACGTTCCCCAGAGGTAGCTGGCAGCAATTATCGAGTTAAATGATTACAACTGCCACCCTGAGTCAGTCCCCTTTAAGATTTGGTTTAACTCGCAATACTGAAACCCACTAATAGACTAATTAGCCCCTAATCTGTTTACTTAATCGTCTACTTCCCTCCTCCCAAATCATGTTTTGCTGTTTACTATTATTAAAATATTTTTTTCTTTTTCTATAATTCCTCACAAAAAAAGTGTGGTGGTTCGTGAAACGCATATTAGAGTGAGGAAGAGGGAAATTGCCTTTGATGACAGCTTTCAACTCTGACTTTTGGACACTGTGACCAACAGTGACGGCAAAACCCATCATCCCTCTGTGTCCTAGATGTAAGCTTACAAATGGAAATTGCTTTCGAGACCGGGGATCTTCAGATCAAAGGAATATGGAGAACACACTACTGAGTTTTAAAATGCATTATTTACTCAGACTCGCTGAAAGTTTAAAATAAGATACTTCAAAAGAGACCAAAGTTATAATCATAGTAAATCTGGATTCCGACAATACCACAATGAGGAATAAAATAAATGGATAAGTCCGTTTTAACAAGTCAACAGTTGCAAAATCAACGCATCGACAATTACAGATGTTCATAAGGAAAATCCCGGAAGAATCTAGTTTAAACGATCTAGTTAGCATTAAAGTAGAGAGAGGATGAGATATGTATAGAAAAAAAAAGATCCCCATTTCTATAAGTGAGCAGGGCTTAGAACGCACCAAGTCACCAACACAAGCTAATCCCACTCCTTTAAGGAGCCCCGGAACAGCGCAGCCGCTTGCTAAATATATGCTATTGTAGCTTTGCAAAAGCTATGGGCCCAGGTAGAACCAAAGGAAACATATGGCGCCTTCACAGTCGATTTCTTCCCAAACTGTCTTCCACGATTGCTTTTCTTCCCCGTGTGTTCCGAACAGCAAACAAAGAAAAGGTGCTTCCTCCTCACACTTCCCTAAATGTTTTAACAAAAGGCTGCTGAATAAACACATTACTCATTTAAAAATTGAACCGAAGTTCTATCCCTGAGATGAAAGCAGCTCGATTTGCATTTAACAGCTGTGGGCGAGCGCCACCTTGCGGGAGCATGAAGAACGAGCGTGCGTTCAGCCCCGAACAGCTTTCTGGAGCAGGTTCTGGGTTTACAGCTGCTACCCAAAAAAGGTCTGAGACTCGCGGTGGAATGTTTTCGATCTGGTTCCTGCTGCGGGAACGTGAGTACTCAACGTGCGGCCGGCCAGCCAAGGCTTGGAGAAGAGTTAAATCAGAATCATAAATCATACCCGGGTCCTCAGGACTGCCCCAAGCATCCTTCTGCCACCTCCCTAACACCTAAGGCAGACCCCAAAGGAGGGAAACAGGAGCTGGGCAGCATCTTCAGAATGGTGCTGCGACTGCCTCTCTTCTCCTGCTTGTTGTCCCAGCCTTTCAGCTTTACACACCGCAAAAAGAGTGATTTCCTCGCCCAACTTCCCGGACACGGAAACAATCTGTCCTTTCCCAACATCTTGTGTCCAGTTTCCATTTTAACATCAAGCCAGGGAAGAAAATCTAAGACATTTCCAACGGAATGTGACTCCGAAGGGTCTTAATCTCAAACGCAGCCTGTTTAAAGACCTTCACTTCCAGCAGGTTCTTTGCCCTTCCTTTCTCTTTCTTCCTCCCTTGATTTCTCATGTGAGCACAGCTGTTGCTTAGCAATCCAAAGGGAGCCCTTTCCTAAGTCCCGCGGACTTGCTTCAACCTGCCCCCGACCCTACAACATCAGCTCAATGTGGTCACTCTGAAACCAAAGGTGCTAAGAAACTTCGAGGTGGTTTTGAACTTGGAGGCATTCCTACGTTGCCTCCACACCTCTCCCTCCCTCTTTGGGGGACTCTGGGGTGTAAGCCCTACCAGTGGGGTTTTAATGATTAGAAAGACCCCGGTACTGGTCTCCGCAGCTCAGCTCACCACCACTAGGAAGACACGGGACACATTGGGGAACTAGCTCCCTGCCTATGGGCAAACCAAAACACAGTGTCCCGAAGTTTTCAGAAGCCCACTAGCTCATTGATCAAAGCCACTCCACTCAAAGGACCTTAGTAGGGTACCCATTACTCTCGATAGCGCCACGAGGTGAAGTGGGAGCTTTGCTGTGCGGTTCACTCACAGAAACACTCCCACGGGAACCTCCAGCGGCTAAAGACGGGCTAAGGGGAGCAGCGTGTTTAGAACAAGACTGGATGATCTTCAGTGTCTCCGAGGAGAAAGGAAAAGCCACCGCCCTGGCAGCCTGGGCCTGCTAGGGACCTGTGCTCCCCACTCCAAGAGCGCGCGCAGCCCGAGAAGCTGCCGGGGTGACAATGCTCCCCGCCGCCGGGAGAGAAGCGGCGCCTCATCCCGCCGCCCCAAAACACTCGAGTGACAGGTTCCGACAAGTGGGAGGCAGCAAGTGGAAATATTCTCAACAACCGCGGAAAGTTACTCCCGCCCGGGGGTGGGGGGAGAGGCAGGAAAGTAAGGCGATGAGGGGACCAGAGAGGACCTAGCGCAGGACTGGGCACGCCTGGACGCAGCAGCTGCGTCCGGAGGCTGGGACGGGACTCTGGCCACTCGGCCCCCGCATCTCCTGGCCACTGTACCCAACTTTCTCCTCCGAGGCTGCAGGGAAGGGCGCGGGGCCGGGGAGTCCGGCGGTCGCACTCACCTGCGGTGCTCTGCGCTCGGGCGCCAGGCAGCGGCTGTCGCGGCAGCCCCAGGAGCAGGAGCAGGAGCAGGCAGAGGGCGAGCGCGCCGAGGTTCCCCATCCGGGCGGCGGGCTGCTCAGCCCCTTCCCGCGGGCGCCGGGGCCGGGACTCGGGCGGGCGCGGGGCGGCCCCGCATCGCCGGCGCGGCTGCAGGCAGTGCGCGCCGCTGGGCTCCCTGGGCTGGCTGAGCTCGGTCTGCGGGAGCCGGCGCCGCTGCGCTCCGAGCCCAGGCGCGGCGCGAACTGAGGCGCGAGGCTGGGCGGGGGGCGGGACGCGGGGGCCGGGGGGCGGTGTCCCCCGAGTCCTAACGCCGCCGCCGTCGCCGCCGCCGCCCGCCCGGGCGCTCCGCCTCGGCCGCGCACACACACCCTCGCGCGCACGCCCGCGCCTGGCACACGCCCGCGGCTGCCACTCGCGGGCTCCCCCACGCACCCTCTCCCGGGCTGGCCGGCTCGGGGCCGCTCGCGCGCAGTCACGCGCGTACACACATCGCTCTTGCACCCACTGGATCCGCGGGGTACTCGCCGCTTCTCCCCACGCCACGCCACCCAGCCGAGCATCGTCTACAGGCTACCCTGCGGGGGCGCAGGTACAAGACGATGGGGGAGGAGAGAAACCTGGAACAGCCTTTGAAGTAGGGGTGCGGGGACAGGTGACTAGGGGCCAGTGAGGGGAAGAGGGGGAGGGAGCGGCCCGATCAACTCTGGATGCTGCGGGGCTGTGAATTGAGGGAGGGGGTGCTTCTTCGCAAAGCTGGGGACAGCTGTTGAAGGGTCTCTGGCACACCCTAAGATTCTCTCATATTCATATTCTCTCCTTCTCTTTCCCTCTCTCTCTTTCCTCTTCCCCATCACCTAGTAGGCGGCGGTCCAGCACACCCCACCTTAATCACAGCATCTCTCTTTCTCTTATCCCTAACCCCCACCCCACACACACAGGTGTGGAGACTCTCGCCCCCTTCTCTAGCTGCCTCCCCTATTCTCCCTACCATGTAGCTTTTCCCCTTTTCGTCCTTGTCTGAACAAAGACCTGGTTAGGGCTGAAAACCTAAAACCATAGATCATAGGGCAGTGCCTGTCACAGCCCACAGGCCTGGGCTCAGGGATCCCATGGAAGAGACTGCCACCAGGGGAGGGATATGAGTCTTGTATCTAAAAGCCAGGGATAAGGACACCTAGAGATGCTGAAGGGATTCTCATTTTGTAAGGACTTGCTACCTAGCCAAAGCCCTCCTTTCCCACCACTCCCTTGCTAGCATCCCAAAGGACAAGGAAGAAGGAGCCCAGAGATGACTCCAACTCAGAGCTCCTGGTGCCCTGCTTTTACGGTCCCTGGCTACATTGAACTTCCAGGGGCTCTGGGTTGGAGTTGCTTTGGCAGAGAATGTGCACAGAGCCTCACTGGTACCCAGGTCTGCCTAGGTGGACCATTTCATTGAACATGGGCACATTTATGTCTCCCAGCCCACACTTGTAATTCCAGGCAAATGCTTCCACCTGGCTCTGAACTACCTCCTACCACCTCCACAGACATCACTTCCCTCAAGATAAACACTAGGACTAGCCCGTCCAGTGCCTCCCACACTTGCCTGGTCAAAGCACCCTGCCAGGGACAAGGACCCTCCTCTTTTACCCCTAATCCCGCTTCTCAGCCCTCACTCCAGGGAAAGGGGTGTGTGGTCTGTGTGGGGAGCCTGGGAGTTAGATCTTTTGCAAGCTGCTTTGGAGGTCCACAAAATTTTTGCTAATATTGATGGTATACTTGATTGGATACTACAGCCTTTGCTAGTCTCTGATGCCACAGGATGCCTGGCTGCTGGGAAGCAATGGGAACAGGAGATCCCTTCTGCTCAAAGCTAAAGTGCCAAATGTTTGATCCATCCATCCTCCATCCAGGCCTAGCCTTAGGCAGAAAAGTTATAACACAACCTCTGAAAAGAACCCCGACTCCAGCCCACAGCTGGGATCCAGCCATGGCTGATGGCAGAGGCTGACCCAGGAGGGATGGAGGAGGTCTCTAAGCCACTACAGAGTTTGGTGTCACGCTTATAACTTGTCCCAGCTCCCTTGGGCTCCTGCCAATTCAGTCCCTCTCTTGGACATCCTAAGTATAAAACAGCAGTTCTCTGGGCATCTTCTATGCACACACCCTCCCTCCCTCCACCAACTGAGTCCATCCCACAGGATGTTGTACCACTGTAGCCAAGGTTCCAAAGTCAGAATGGGGGGTCACATGGCCCCCAAGGTAAATAATCCTTTTTTTGATGACAGACTAATGGAACATGACCTGATTATAGCACCAGGTCTTGCTTGCCCAAGTGTGGGGTTACAAACCCGGGTCCTCTTGTTTTTTACCCAGTGCCCTGGTTCCCAGGCCTTGTGCTCTACCCACTTTGGCATCTGGCCTCACTGCCACACTGTACCAATCATTCCCTCTACCTGAATGGTCCATCCTGCATCACTGCCCTGGTAAACTCACCTGCAGATGTAAGTTTCTCTTTGAGGCCCCTGTGTGCACCACCTGGGAAATGCCATCTCTCCACTCATCTGTCCTGGAAGATTTAGTTCCCAAAATGCATCTGGATGCTTCACCCAGGGCTGTGGACAAAGGGGCTTGAAGGAAGGGGCGGGGGGAGCTGGCACAAAGTCAGTGGTGCCTTGAGTATCCTCTTAGGAACAATTTCTCAGAGGGCCAGGGTTCAGAGAGCCCCAGGGTCATTTCCTTACCTCCTGCATGGGCAGCGCAGAGAGGTGAGGGGTATCTGGTTAGAAAGGAAAAGCAACCATTTGACTCCATCAGCCTGCCCAGCCACAGTGTGCCTTCATCTTGGCCTCTAGCTCAAGGCAGACTCTGTACCAGTACTAAAGGCCTTGGGGGGGGGGGGGTTGTGATGGCTAGAGGGAGAGAGTACTCCACCTAGCATCCCTTTCCAGTGCTGCTCACCCAGCAGACCTCTCGCCCCCCTGGGCCATTATTCCATTAGCCCTGCAGGACACTTGGCAAGACCTTTAGAAGCCTTCACTTCCCCATCTGCACAGTGACTTCCCTTCCAACACTAGCAGGGGTCAACAGTGTTCAGACATTGTCACTTCAGGTCTCTTCATCTGGGCAGTTTCTAAGAAGTGGGAAGCCTGGTGCACCCTCTTACCATGAGCTGCACCTGCCCTGTGTGCTGGGGACCATGGGGCTGCCCTGCAGCCTGAGCAACAGATGTGACCTTTGCCCCCCTGGATAAAGAGTACACGAAGAGAAAACAGTAAAGCACAGAAATGGGTTCTTCTCCAGACTCGTTTGGCCCCGGTGCCGCCCAGCCCACCAGTGACCAGGAAAGGACACTCAAGGGCAAAGCACCTCATTCACCCGTACAGAAAGGCCAGTGATGTGGCTCCTGTTTTATCCCCTCCTTACACATGATAAAACCGAGACAAGAAAAGCAAAGGCCTTGTGTAAAAAGATGCTAAATGACCCCTCACACACCATGGATAGCTGTGCTCTTCTTTCTGGGACACAAGTAGCCACTTGCTACTTAGGTTGTAATTCATAATTTCAGTCTGAGTCTCTCTAATAATATTTCAAGTGCTCAGAGGCCACAAACGTTAGGAGCTGACAAATTCTACAACTATAGAAAACTCTATTAACATTGCTCTATGGCAGAGGTTGCCACACCTCTCCAAAATCTGACCCATTGTCTATGTTATAAAGTTTTTTTTGCGTGTCATAGCCATATATAGTTCTTTACACACTAATTATGGATGCTTTTACATAAATGTCTGTTAACACTGCTATAGAGCAGAGGAGAGCAAACCACAGGGCATGACTCATATCTGGCCCACCACTTGCTTTTATTAATAAAGTTTTATTGGCACACAGACTCATTTATTTGTTGACATATTGCATTTGGCTGCTCCTATTTTGCATAGGCAGCTATGCCATTACTGTCCTTACCTTTGTAGAAAAAAAAGTGTACCTTTCTTTAAATAAAAGTCTCACAGGACATTGACCTAAAATTCACTTGCAAATAGGGAATCTCTCCTCTCCCCCCCCCCCCCCCCGAACACTCTGAATACAAGTTTTCAGGCTCAACCCTACGAAATACTAGGAGTGGAGTCTGAGAATCTTGGCATTGGACAGCCTGCCAGGGGATTCTGATACAAGCTCAGGTTGGGAATTCCTGTTTTAACACACTCCTGAAGGAAGAGCCAGTGAGTACCTGGCATAGCTAGGATGCTCAAGGGCTCGGGTGAGTAACAGAAGACTTGGGAACAATGTCAGCAGAGAGGCCATACACTGTTTGCTCTTTCTGTAGTAAAACCTCTGACAGCCCTCACACAGAGCTGTGCCAACCAAGAGATGCCCACGTGGATGCCCAGGCCCCGCCGCCGCCTGTGGGTCCCACCCTCCTGAGGAGTCGTCAGCACATTTGGAGCTGCCTCCACGCATAAATTCATGGACCAGCTGTCTTTTTTTAATCTGGTTGCAAGATGAAACCATTAATAGATGTCAGACACATTGGCAATGATCTCTTCATTAATAATTTCCTCCTTTCTGAGGAAAAAAAAATTAGTAACAAGCAACCATCAATAATTCAAAAATACAAGTTAACCTTTCTATTAGCAGAGTCGCCATGCACACAGTGTACACTCAGAGCCAGGAGTTCTGGCTCAAGTCATGTTTTGATGGTAGGGACATTAATATGCATTAATGCTGTCTGTCAAGACCAAATATAAATAAGCCAACTGCAACTTAGAACTCACAAGTATGCTTCAAGTGTGACCTCCTGACCCAGTAATTTGGTTCTGTAAAGGCGTGGATCAGCCAATTATCTTGCTGTCTAAGAGAAGGCTTTTATGAACAAACCCATTTTCAGCTGGAGACCCCTGTGAGTAGAAAGATCTCCCCTAGGCCCAACTAACCCTGCTGCAGTGTGATCTCTCCCTCCTAAGCTGGCTCTTCCCCACCCCCACCCCCACCCTCCCACCTTCCCCCACCCTCCCACCCTCCCCCACCCCCCAGAACACTCAGCCTGGATGCGCTTCCTTGAGAGGTTGGGTAGGCTCCAGGGAAGAACTCCCGGATTCCATATACCCTCCCTTTGGCTGCCATCTCTAGGCCTGCCTTACCTGGCTCCTCTTCTCAGCTGCATTTGAGTGACACCCTCTCCCAGGAGGTCTCAGCACCTGCCCACTCCTCACACCTCCATTCACTACCGGGAGCCACCACAAACCAGGCACTTTCCCTCTCCAAATCTGTTTCCCCGTCTGTGAAATCGGAGTGATTATCCTCACCTCACTGAGCTGATGTGAGAATTAAGTAAGTAATGAATGT